TTATGTCATTTCTGCAGATTGGAACTTCCAGAACAGATGGCTTGAAAATTTTGAAGAATCAGACTTGGACACTCTGTCTTAAAAGTCTATGAAATGCATTATTTAATTATTGTAGTGAGAAAGTTGGTTCAGTGTTCAAGAAAACTTGAGAGATTAAAGTCCAGCCTTTTTTTGGTTATTCTACACGTATTGCTTTATATGCCTTTTTAATTACACCTCTTTCTTTTAATCAATTTCTCATTTTTTTTCTTCTGATTTTCTTCTACAGCAGTGTTTCTTTCCTTCTTCTTTGTTAAATCGTAAGTTCAATTTTGAAACATTTATTCTACATTCTGAGTTAAGATGATGAGTAAAATAGAATAATATATTTTATTTTGAAGCAAGATTTCTTAGCAATAGAATATTTGGAGAAATGAAATATGAATTGCACATACTTCTGGGAATTTGATTGACTTTTAAAATACTGAAAAATGGAAAGAAGATGCATAGGAAAGTTGTACCTCCTTGTCTAGTTCTGCAGGCAGTGAAAATTATTGATGCTTGTCCTGCCCAGATTTTTGCTTTCCTTTTTTAAGATCTTGGGGCTGCTAGTTTCTTACTGTTAGTGGCTTAAATGGAAAGTATTCAGGTTAGGTTTTTTTTTTTTGTTTTTTTTTCTGGCCTCTGGGAAGAACTAAAATCCCTGTGTTTATAAATCAGACAGGAAAGGCAATTTGATCATGACTGAGGCAGCCTATTTTTTTCTTGCAGTCTACTAATAGTTATAGTCAAGGCAAATTAGATAGCTGGTATTAAGAGTAAGCTTTAGAGTGCATGGTAATGACAATGGTAATATTAGCTTGCTCTCAAATAGCAGCTCTTTTCCTGTGTGCTACTTTCTGAGAAAAAATTTAGGGAAAAAAAAGAGGATGACTGGCTAACCTAATGTATAATGATAACTGCTAATAAAAATGAAGAAGTACCCATTCAAGCATTCTAATCTTTATAGAATGTTAACATAATTGCATCTCTAGCATAGTCTTTTAAGACTTGAATCATCTACTTTTAGGAAGAGAAGTATTTATTGCAACACATTTGCAAGGAAAAATGGGAAGTTGATTTGGTCCTTTTTCATGTGTTTCACTCCCTTTGGAACAAGTATATTCCCAGCAAATCTTACACTTGACACAGCAGAAAATGTGGACTGAGCAACTTTTTCTAGTTAAAATCCCTCGAAGGTTTCTCTAAATAATGAGATTTACACATCACATTCAATTCATTAAACTAAAAATGTAAAAAATGTTCAAATGGGTCTTTTAGGTAACTGCCTGTCTGTTGTCTCTTGCTGCATTTGAATCCTTTGCAAGGAAAGGAAAAATTGCAAAGCATGTATTTTACAATGTAGCACATGTCATAGCTATGAGCTGAGATGATCAGTTGTCCAAGATGTGCACAGGATTTATATCCCTATACTGAGAAACTTAAGTGAGAAAACTCTCAGAGAATACAAACTCTTCTATTTTGTTATTTTGCTTTGTTTTAGCTGTGCTGCTGTAGTCCAAGGCCACCTCCAAGGCTTTCCTTTCCCCAAGCTGAATGGCTGCAGGCACCTCATTATCATGACTTGTGTTGCTGTCTTCAGCATTTTAAAAAGTCTTTTTCTATTTCTCCAGCAATAAGAATCTAGTCGTCTGCACTGCTGCTCTTAACCCTTTTAGAAAGAGTTTCTCTAAAACTCATCCATCAAGGGCCTCAGCATGGGCTGTACGTGCTCTTGCTGTAAAACATGCCCAACACCTAACTTGATGAGTACTTGGAGAAAACTGTAGTTGCTGGTGTGTACTGGCAGTTTCCTTAATCAGTGTACCAGCGTGGTTTCTCATCCTGGCATAAATGAAAGCATGTGGAGAAATATATAGAAAGTCACTTTGGTCTTACTTTCCTCTTCCATAGTGTCATTCCTTTCTGGTGCTTTAGACTATAAATTTCTTTAGATTCATCCTGACCCACATTTATCAGAGAGACTGATGAAGCTGTCCCTGCCCATTCGTACTCTCCAGAGTAGGACATGCTTTAGTCTGGCAGGCTGTTCTGTCTACTCAACTGTACAGCCCACCACCCCATTCACAGTGTAGTCAGCCATACTTCTGAATTCTTGTAAATACTGCAGGAATTTATGTACTTCGTGCCGATTTATCCTTATCAGCAGACCACAGTTTTTGTGTATCTGGCATAGAGGTTTAAGTTGTTGTGTATGGGTTAAGACCATGCTGCCAGCATGCTGCGTTGTTACCAGTCCAACTTGTTTAGTGGAAGGAATGATGCCAAAGCCTACAAATGAGTGAAAACAAATAAACGAATAAAACCAATCATAGCCATCAGCCACAGTAGTTTTGCCAGTATTAACGCTTAATTTAATATTGATGTGGTCTTTCTGCCTTTTCTATTAAATGTGAGTACTTGGCTGTAGCTTAGGCTGGTGATGACTTTGGATTGACTTTCTCTGAAGCCTGACTTTTCTGTAGAGGACTCTGCTTTGAGGATGTCAATTCACAATCAGAGAGATTTTCACCACTTCGTAAGTGTCATAACATGAATGGCTGAATTCCATGTGGAAATCCTAAGCTGTTAGCTATTTGTTAGCTGAAGTATTAAAGAAAAACATCATGGACTTCATGCTGATTTGCTGTGCTGGGCCAAAGTTTGAACAGAACTGTTGTATATGTAATTACATAAAGAAAAGCAATTTTTTGGAGAAGAATAAAATGAAGAGAGTAAGTAAACATGCTTTGATGTGTAACTGATTTTCAAATGGAGTCCACTTTTCTTGTTCAGATGTTAGGACAGTATATGTGAACAGGTCTGTTTTTTTGATATTTGATTTTTTAAAATTAATTTTTGGTGGGGGTATTTTTGTCACTAGTTGGAGGAAATCAAGTGCCAGGAAGTACTGTTATAACTCCCAGTTGATTTTTCTACCAACTTTGGCATAAAACAAATAAGGAGTTACGGTAGCAAGTTAGGACAACAGTTTGTGGCTCAGTGTTCTTTCGATACTTGAAGTAAGCATTAGTTTAGTAAGAAACGAATTCAATCCTGACCTGCAACATTTTTCTTTAAAGAATTAACTTTTGACTTAATGAGAGGTTTTCAAATGTTCTTAATTTTTTTTGAGTGGAGACAGGTAGGACATGTAGCATATTTCAGTAGATATGCATTCCATGATAAAGTGAATAAAGTGCTTAATCTGATTGCCTCATTCAGTTTCCTTCAGAGAAACAAAACAAAACAAACATCTAAATTGACATGCCTTCTTTCCAGCAGTCAGTATGCAATAAGATTTCCTCATCCTTTTGGTTTGAAACTAAGCATAAGCAGGTTCAGCCCAGGATTCACCTTTTCAGGAGCTTAGTGGATACCCAACTCTTCAGGACTATGAAACAGTAACATATGTTGAATTCTTACTGAAATTTAGTGGTCAGAATGACAAAGATATGTCATGAAAATTTGTATTGTCTCCTTCCCTCCTCTCCCATCAAACATTCGTAATAGAATAAAGAAACTGCTAATCTTACTGAGATTTAAAAAAAAAAACAATAACTTTGTCTGCCTTGTACTATGTTTTTTGCATGTACATCTTACAGAACATTTTGTTTTCCTGGTTTCCATGTGGTGGTTGTTCCCCATGTCGATGTTTTTGGTTCTATACCTGTGTATATGTGCAATTAAAAAAACAAACAAACAAACAAACAAAAAAAAAACGAACTTCATAGCTCCAGTTCTTGTAGTGATAACTTGAAATTCTGTAGCATCTCCTGTTTCTGTCGCCTACAGAGCTGTGAGTATCTTGAATCGAATTGCTATTCTCTTAACTAGCTCTGAACTTCCATAGTTCTGCATTTGTAGAGTCCTTCAGTTTCATTGCTTATCCTCTGTGGTTTCTTCTTTAGTTTATGTAAGAGTATGCTGTTTATCACAGAATCATGGAATTGCCTGGATTGAAAAGGACCACAATGATCACCTAGTTTCAACCCCCTGCTATGTGCACGGTCACCAACCACCAGACCAGGCTGTCCAGAGCCACATCCAGCCTGTCCTTGAATGGCTACAGGGATGGGGCATCCAAAGCCTCCTTGGGCAACCTGTTCCAGTGTGTCACCACCCTCTGTGTGGAAAACTTCCTCTTAATATCTAACCTAAACCTCCTCTGTCTCAGTTTAAGATTGTTCCCCCTTGTCCTATCACTATCCACCCTCGTAAACAGCTGTTCCCCTTCTTGCTTATATGCTCCCTTCAAGTACTGGAAGGCCACAATGAGGTCTCGCGGAGCCTTCTCTTCTCCAAGCTAAACAAGCTCAGTTCCATCAACCTTTCCTCACAGGAGAGGTGCTCTAGCCCTCTCATCATCTTAGTCACCCTCCTCTGCACCTGCTCCAAGAGCTCCACATTCTTCCTGTACTGGGGGCCCCAGGCCTGGATGCAGTACTGCAGATGGAGCCTCACAAGAGCCGAGTAGAGGAGGACAATCACCTCCCTCTCCCTGCTGGCCATCCCTTTTTTAATGCAGCCCAGAGCACAGTTGGCTTTCTGGGCTGCAGGCGGACACTGCTGGCTCAAGTCTAGCTTGTTGTCCACCAAGACCCCCAAATCCTTCTCCTCAGGGCTGCTCTCAAGGGGTTCTTTGCCCAGTCTGTATAAACACCTGGGATTGACGAGCCCAAGAGCAATACCTTGCACTTGACCTTATTGAGCCTCATTAGGTTCTCATGTGCCCACCTTTCCAGCCTGTCCAAGTCCCTCTGGATGGCTTCTCTTCCCTCCAGTGTCTTGACTGCACCGCTCAGCTCGGTGTCGCCTGCAAACGTGCTGAGGGTTCGCTCAATGCCATCATCTGCGTCATTGATAAATGATTATTTATCAGTCCATTACAACTCGTTTAAAATGGATGGACCGATCTATTCTGTAGATTCTAAACTGAAGATTAAATTTATGGATATTTCAGCTTTTTTCATTTATTGCAGGTAATTAAAGTGTACAGCGAAGATGACAGTAGCAAAACTCTGGAAATCCCGAGTGATATAACAGCCAGGGATGTATGTCAGCTGTTGATATTGAAGAACCACTATATTGATGACCACAACTGGACACTGATTGAAGAACTTACTCATACAGGCTTAGGTAAGACATTCTGTACAACAGTATGACAGTAAATAAAGTTGTTTTGTTGTTTTGTTGTTTTTTGGTTTTTTTTTTTGTCACATAGAGTTGTAATTGTAATAAGCTTGGTTAGAAAAAGAGATGAAAGAGCGTGTGTGAATTTGTTCTTGAGGAGGGGATGTTGTTTCTGTTTCCCTTATTTTTGATAGCATTTCAGTAAAGTGAGTTTTGTGACAGTAATCTTGTCTCACACTGCTTCATCTGCATCGGTAAGAGAGATTTGGAAGACAGTGGCCATTAAGATTCTCTTTGGAAATTCTTCTTTGTTCTTCCTTGCTTTTCTTTGGCAGTTCTTCCCCTTTCACTGGTATTTACTGCTTATCTCTAGCAGGAGTTGGGATATTTTTATTGCAAATAAAATATTTGTTATTCCCAGCATGTCTGAGTGAAATCTCTGACATCAAGGACAGAAAGTGGTCACTCTGTGCTATCCCTTTTGGACAGCTGAACTCAAGTCTTCACAAACAACATCAGAGAAGGCTATCTATTTTTCAGTGTAACCAGTTTTGCTAGATTTATTCTGACTTTGGGAGGGTCCAGGGAAAAAGCAAAACAAAACCACTCTTCTAAATTTACAGTTGCAGACCAGAGAACTGTGCTGAAGTGCTTTTATGCTTAATATTCTAAATTGCTAGAAATGAAACTCCTTGAATTCCTTCCACATCACCAGTGCTTTCCTAGAGAGGGAAATAAAAAAACAACCAACCTCTATGTGTATTGTGCAGACATACAATTTAAAGATTTAATACGTGGTTTCACTTTATGACTATAATTTTAACTTCTGGTTTCTGTTCCTTCTCATATAGAATATATATAGAATAATTTTGCAGTATAAAGCACGTTAAGTCAAGTTAAATACAGAGAGAATAAGAATGATTGCAAAGATGTGAAAAATACAGGACACAGGAAAGCCTGTGCTCAGCAAAAGATGAATTAAAAAGCCTGCTAAAAAATGTATTATTAAATTGATACTCTAATCAGATGGTTGTACTTCCTTTCACAGTCCTACTGTTTGGGATTCTGTTGTGTTTGGTTTTTGATTGGAAATTACATCAGAAAAATCTAGCAAGATTCATGCCATAAAAACGCATATTTTGAATTTCCTATCACTCAACATTTTCATACTAGTTTTAAGCTCTACCACTGTGCCAGAGTTACCAAAGCTTTTTCTGCAACCTCATAGGCAGACTCAGCAAATACTAGAGCAAGGAGAGGTTTGAGAAAGAAGTCTATGGGGGACTTTCTGCATTTTAAAATATGTAGAGAAACTCTTTGGATGTTTTAATTCTCTGAAGAGAGCACTGATACCTGGTAACCACAGTACTGTCAATTCAAAATGAAAACAAATAAATAAACATTAAAGATAAGTTTTAAACATATTATTAAACTCTCTCACTGTGTATGTATCTAATGGAATCTGCATGAGTCTGCACTCATGCATTTGTGTAAAATAAACTTGGCTGTGAATCTCAAACTGTATTATGTTTAACAGTCATATTTTAAAGATGAACTATAGAAGCTGAAAGTGTTCTTTGCCCTTTTCTGCTCCTTTATCCTATCAAGACAGCCACAAACGCTTTCCTTTTTTTTTTTTTTCGTGCTTTGTAACATTTCAAAGATATTTATAACCTTTTGCACGGAATGCATCAGTTGTGAGATGCTTCCAGCTCAGAGTAGGGTCAGAGTTAAATCTGAATCGAGACTGTAAATGACTGACTGGTACAGAAGAGGGAGTATAAAAATGGCTTTAGACAGCACTGCTATATAAATACTAGAAGTGTTTTTTGTAATTTATAGTGTGACTGCCGTCTAAGTAGTGTGTAGAACTATTGAAGAATTCGTTTTTGGCAAAGTATGCCAGAGTAGTAGTGGCATTGTTTCTTGAGGTTTGTTTAATTGCAGAGTACGCTTTCCGTCAGATAGCATGATTTGTTCAATCTGAACTATTTGCTGGGAGCTTTCAGTATCAAATTGTTATTTGTGGAGCTGTTGTGATAGCTGGCAAGCAGGTGCGCAGACCTGCATTCACCGGGCAGTCCAGCTGCTTTGGGCATAGGTTTACAAAGAAGTGAAGTGCTCATTTCTGAAGAAATTTTTTTTCCTACATGGTGAGAATGGGAATTCATCACTATTGGCCAAAGGAGAGGAAAACCTGAGATACCTTTGCTGCTTTTTATAATACTGAATAATAATGGAATTATATTAATGACACTGATTTTTGTTTGAAGGGTTTTTTGTGTTGATCTTGATTTCCATTAAGGGTATCCTTAAGTACTGGATGAATAGTGTGAACAAATATTTACCAAATGGTGGTTTAGTTTTGAACTGTCTGCCATTTATTGTTCTATGGTAAGTTTGATCTGTGGAAATGTGGACAGACCTTTTCTGCTCCCAAGTTAAATGTATGTGTTTGGAAAAGAGAAATACCGTGAGCGAGTGTGTCAGTGTAAATTCCAGTATGAAGAGATTAATAATTAATTAATCAATTAGCAAACATTTTCTTTAACGTATAACATCTGTCTGAATGCTGTTGAATTAGATAGGATTGCGAGCTCAGCACAGCGTTCTGCTTTTAATCAGGACAGGCATTAATTACATTACTGCACCCTGTCCTCATCTGTGCGCAGAGATATCTGCGTGTGAAGGTTAGAAGAGAAGGAAGAAAGTTACTCGCAGCAGAGACCACCGCCCCGCCGCTCGCGGGGAGGAGCCGGGGTCTCCGCAGCTCCGGGGCGTTGCGGTGCCGCCCTCCGTTGCCGCGCCTCTTCTGGCCGCCGGGTGGCGCCCGCGCTCCGCGCACCGCCGCTCCAGGGTGGGCGGCAGCCGGGCTGGGGTTCGGTGCCCGGGGAGCGGCCGTTGCTGTAGCGCTGTACATCGTGTGATTCGGGCGCGGCGCTCGGGGAGGTGGCCTGGTAGTCCAGGCGATGGAATTCAAAGGTGCTGTCTCCACCTCACCTGGGACTGCTGGAAGCAGCTGGGGCGAGCCTTAGATGAGCCGTGTCGTAGCTAGAGACTCCGAATCCCGCCTCCATTGCCACAGGGCAGGCTGTGAAAAAAGAAAGCTCTGTTTCCATAGCTGTTTCTTTCTGTAAAGAGAATCCTCTTTACCCTGATATATTTTTTTCTTTTTCCAGTGAGAATGTTGTGAAAGTGAGCGATTTTCTTGCTGCTTTTTCAACAGACGTCTTCTGAGGTTCCCCTGGTAGACCAGAGTCCCTTGGCTGGGTACCTAACTGCCTTTCACTTCTGCTCTCTCGTTTGTGTTCACTGTCTGCATTCATGTAGGCAGCTTGTGGGAAGGCTTTTGGTTTCCCCAGATGGGAAATCACACAAAGCGTTACCTATGCAGTAGTGTGGAGCAAATGCATTTCCTGCTTTATTTTGCTTCTCTCACCACCTTCTCCCTTCAGCTGGGTAGCTAGAGAGGGGACTGCTTGAAATTTGTTATGTTGTGCACTTCAGTATCGAATCTGTTCCTTGCTTTATTTACTTAACGCAGTTAAGAAGGATCTTTGTAGCAGGTGGTTGTTGTGTTACAGATAGTGATAATGAAGAGATAGCAGAGAGAAAGGAGAACACTCCTTGTGTCAGCTGGAAGAGAAAAAAATGATCTAACTAAACCAAAGTGCAGCTTCCTCATGGCAACGTTTAGTAATTTGATTGTGGGACTGTGTTTTGGGTTGTACTAGCTTAGTGTTTTGCTGCTTTTATCAAAATGAGTTCAATAAATTGTAAAATATTCTGTAATGTTATACCTTAAAAATAAAAAAAAAAAACAACAGCATCTTTACCCATCCATTGAGGTGATGCAGAATGTCTTATTTTTGTACCAAGAAGTAACTCTTGAGGAAATGGTATTTTCTTAAATGTCACAGTGCCAAGCATTCAAGAGTTTTAAATGTCATCCTAGATGAGAGCTTTCTCTGAAAAGAAAAAAATGTTCTTTTTATGTAAGGTCTTCAATTCTTTAGCGTCTCTTCCCCCTTGCAATTGAAGAATGTGTTTTGGAATAGAACAGCCTGTCCAAACTTTTAAAATACTCTGCTTAATTTCGGTATTTGGGGGGGGGGGGGGGGTGTTGTGTTTTCTGAATTGCTGCATGATTTATTTGCTTCGTTTGATCTTTTTACAAAATGTAAGTTTCGTATAGGATTTTTAAACTCCATCTTTATGGGCTTAAAGAATGAGTTAAATTCAGTGGAAGTTTAACTTTTTTTCTGTTTGCTATGTAAATCAAATGTGTACTTTGTCTTCTGCTAGTAGTGAGCTTCATACTTTCGTATTGAGGTAAAATTTACCTTTATGAGCATATTGTCTCTAAACCTCCTGAAGAAACTTACAGATTTGCAGCTACAGCAGGCTGCTACTTACCAGGCTCCTCAGTGTGGAAGCATGAAGCAGTGACTGATGAAGGAGAAGGCAAGAGAAGATAGTAAAAGGATGCTGTAATTCAAAGAGACTTTGTTGTGTTTTGTTTTGTTGGTTTTTTTTTTTAATTAATTTTTGATATTTCAAATTTGAGGTTTGATTCTTTTTTTTTTAAGGTTGCGCATGCTGCATTTAATGAAAGTCAAACTCTTTTTGACTTTTTTGTTTAGCCTTTATTATTATGTTAATTTCATGTTATGCCTAATTATGCTTAAAAACAAACAAACAACAGCACTAGTTTGCCTCCTACCCTAAGTTTTCTTTCACAATTTTTAGAAAGTTTGGAGCAACAGAGATCAGAATTCACTTAGAGTGTATCATAAATCTCTTATGATAATGAAATGAAGTCTGGGAAATGAGATCAGAAAATTGCGTGAGTTGCATGATTTTTATAATATATTTTAATTGCCTTTTCCCTTTGAATGTGTGATCAGAATTGGTTGTGAAAACTCCATAATTGGCAGGAAGGACTACGTTTTGTTCCTAGATCTACACTATGAGCAGTCTCATTGCATTACTCAGAGTATGCAGCCCTTAAACTTGCACAGCACATCTACAGGAAGGTTCTTAGGCTGTGTCTTCCCTTAAATGCATATGATACTGCTTTACAATTGAAAAATTCCATCAAGAATATGTGCTGCAGGAGCAGTCTAAAATAGTGAGAATACTGATTCTGACCTCCTACGCTTCTCCAATATGCTCATAAAGTACAAATAACTGATTTGTCTTTTCTTCCATTCCCTTTTATCTTCTGCTAAACCAAACTGCACATTTTAGGACTCACTTTGTAAACTTTAGATGTCTGTTTTGTTTTCCTTTTAGTTTTTCATGGTTTTTACCCTTTGCTTCTTGAATGCTAGTGCTACACCTGCTGAAGTTCTTAAAGTATCCTTGTTTTGTGCAAAAGCATTAAAATGTTGAAATGCCCTGTGTGCATCTGCAATTTTAGAAATGCTTCAAAACATTGCATGGTCCAAGGAAGAAGGCATCTTTTCCATGTTATGCACAGTTTTCAACTTATGAATGCTGCGTTAGAGGAAGGTGTAAGAAAGACATTCTTGATGCCCCAAGCAGGGTGGACAGAAATGAGTTGTTGAGATGATCCACTTCCTGCTGCCCTGGACAGCATGTGGCAGGAGCTGCTTGGGTTCTGTTGCATGGAACACGTGGATTGGTTAGCATAATGGTACTGACCCCATGTAAAAGAGCAACAAACCAATGCAAACAAACAAGAAAAACAACCCCAACGTGAACTACCTCAAACATTGAAGCTGGGCCCAATTCAGTGGGAGTGGAACAATAACTTGGTGTAATATGGACCTAATTAATGGACTGTGTTCAGATTACTTGTTTAATGTTTTGTAACATAGGTTATTTTAATTATCTGACCTCTATGTTTTCATGTTGTGCTGTTGTGCTCTTAGGTGCAGATTATGTGCTGGATTAATATCTTTTTTTTTTTTTTTTTTTAAATAGAAAGAGCTATAGAAGACCATGAATTAGTGATGGAAGTCCAGTCAAGCTGGGGGATGGAAGAGGAAAGCAAATTTTATTTTAGAAAAAATTATGTCAAATATGAATTTTTTAAAAATCCTGTGGTAAGCCATAACATCTTGTATGTGAAGTGATTACTTGATGTTGCTGCAAAATCGCAGTTTCTGTTGTGCACAGGTAGACTGTAAAGCTGTTAGTGTAATGTGAATCTAAAGGAGTGATGTGGAAGATGTATAAAAAGCATAAGAATATATTGCGGTGTATGTAGCTGTTGGCCAATAACATTATTGCAATTGTAAAACATGATTTATTTTTTTGAGGGAGGTGCGAAGTAGAGACATGGGCTTGCTTGAGATTTGCAGACAGACCTATGACAAAGTGAGAATTTTTTGAAGTTTCCATCATGTGGCAACAAAATATAAAGTATAAAATGAAGCAAAACAAGGAGGGGCATCTGTTGAAAAGATTATTTTATTTTTAAAGCGAAAATTGAATGTTATGGCCAGCACTGCCCAATGGCAGCTTTTCTGAGCTGCTGCTAAATGGCAGCTGACACAAAAGGCCACAAGCAGCCATAACCTATTAGGAGTAAGTGAAAGTGAAGTGAAAGTTAGCGTTTGTTAGGAATGGAAAGGGAGCAGAGACAACTTGTAACTCAGAGATGTGGCAAAGGTTAATACTGTTGATTCATTCTTTGCTTGATGGCAAAGGCCGTGGAAGCAGTTCTGGCATAGAAGGAGAAACTCACCATCTGGTTACTCATATGCACAGTATATTTGTATCACTCCTAATGTTACCTCTTGCACAACCAGCTTGTTTCAGATGTCAAAGGGAGAAATAGCGAACAAGAATGAGGAGCTAAAAGGTGAAAAGTTGAAGGGAAGCTAAATTATGTAACTGAAAAGATAAATGTTGACGTGGCAAAATGTAGAAGAGATTTGAGGGTATTTTCTTGTTCCATGGGTGTTTCTCTGGACAAATCATGTATTTCCATGTCAAACAGGTACCACTGTACTAGTGAAAAATTCTAAGCTTGAGTTAGTGTACAGTTAGAGAAGCTTTCAAAGAGTAAATATGTGCGTACCAGTGAACAGAACCTGCTGTGAAGCATGGCAAGCATGCAGCTGTGAATACGTCCAGCAGCTGTGCCTAATGGAAGCCTTTACTATTCCTGTTGAGTTGTTCTGAGTGCTGTGGTACCTAGTGTAGCATTTATTAGAAATGAGTTAATGTGAGTTAACCCTAGCAGTTGTTCAACTTTATTAAACGTGAAAGTCAGTGCACACTGGGAGGTCAAGGGAGTGTTAGCTTTAAAACTGTCCAAGAAAACTCTACTAGTAATGGTCAGTCTCTTCAGGTTCGTACCTACATGGTTATATTGAACCTCAGCACCTGCAGGTCTGTGCCATAAATTGCTACTAGTGCTTGCATTGATAATGAAATTGGCACTTCCTTAAATGTGGAATTTCTAACCTTTCCATATTAGTGTAGTCACATTTCAGTATTGATTCTTATTCATATAATTCCAAATAGATAATTCAAAACAAAACCCCCCAAAAAAGAAAGGACTTGTTCTCTCTTAGCAGGAGTTATAACATATTTTACTAAGATTCTAGTATAATAAAAATAATAGAAAACAGTGTTTTCTAGCATGTCGGTGTGTGTATCACTACTTTGTAGCATGTTGAAGCCCCTAGTGAGTCTTATTTGTCAACAGCAGTAGAAGTTACTACTAGAAGAACACTGAAGGCTAGGTACTGCAATATGACTTGTACTGCTGTGTGAAATCCTCTTGCTTTTTCTCATATTTCTAAGTTACTCAGCAAATAATACATAGGCTGTCACAAATTTAGGAAGGATACTAAAGTAAGCTTTTTTTTTTTTTTTTTTTTTTTTTAACATCCATAAGAGAAACAAAGTTTAATACTGATTTTTACAAAACTTTGATACAAATTATTGTCATTGCAGAGCTTTTTTCCTGATCATATGATATCTTTTTCAAGTGAGACCAATGCAGCTGTAAAACACTCTGGGATATTACAGGTATGTAACCTTTGGAGGAGATGAACAATTATATTTTGGAATTCACAATTGTCTATATTGGGTGAGCATATCTCTTTGTCACTGTAAGATCTGTTGGTAGCTTTTGTGTAACTCAAAACATAGTTAATGACTTATTTTCCTTAAGAAATATGGAGTATATGTTCCAGACAGTTATTATATGACTATACTTGAGAATTGGCACCTTCTTTCAGAATCAGATAGCACAAAAATGGCTAAAATGCGTTAAAGAAAAATGGTTAGGACCTGTGTTGAGTTTTTCAGGTAAAACAGTTTTCTTGAAAGATTATAGTGCTGAAATAATTATCACATACAGCAGCACAACACTAGAATACTGAGGAATTGGCAGTGTGACACAAATGGATACAAAAAAGAGTTAAATGGTTGAACTTAATGAGTAGAAAATTTAGACTGACTAGTATGATTTGTTAGCTTGAAGGCTACTGTAACCTTACAAAAAAAAATGGTAGGTCACTCAGTGTTAGTCATCTTTTAAGTGGACAGAAGATTTTAATTTACAGTGGGAATAATTTCACAGAATGACCATATCAGGGATCATCATCTTACTTCTGAAAGAGGGGAAAAATGAGTAATAAAGGTGGAAACATACACATCACTCTTGTTTGCTTGTCACTAGGAAGTTTAATTAATAGAAGAACTTTCACTGGTCTTAAGACAACAACCCTGTGTGTGAGTTTTGGGGATAAAGAATGATTGGAAAGGCAACATAAGAAGAGATATTTTGAGGTAGAACTAAAAGTAATATGGAAATAGATATTTTTGTGCATCTATACAGTACGTTCTACCAGTAAATGAAAAACATTAAAGAACTAAATTTCAAGGCATTCTTCTATACTAAGTAGTTATATCCTCATATATATGTTTGTTAAGATATATCTATTTGCTAGCATTCTCTTATTTATGTATTAATGTATGCATGTATGTATTTAATACAAAATATTTTGTATTTATATATATATTATATATACTAATATATAAAAAGAGAATGCTAACAAATAGATACCCAAATGTAGTTTAAAGAGTTCCACATAAAATGTAATTGATGCATACTGTTACATAAATCATTTTTATGAACTTAAATACAAATTTTATAACATCAAAAGATGCTGCTTATCTGATAAAAAATCGATTCACTTTTTCTGTTTACACAGCAAATGGATGATGTAGTGTAAGGCAAGTATTTAATTTAGTCATCGAATCTTGTCCCCTTTATTGTGAGAATTTTTATTTTATTTTTTTTGCTTGCAAACAACCTCATATTTGAGTATTTTAAGATGAAGCTGTTTGCCGTTTATACCTTCGCACAGAACCTCTTTCAGCCCTCAGCACAGAACATTTGTGATACATGGAAAATGTGCAAGGCTTGTGGATCAGATTGAGAATTGTTCTGAATACATATAGTTATATCCAATTTTGTTAAGTTTGACAAATTTCTTGTGGTCCATTATCTGTTGCTATTTTATGTTGTATTGTGTGTTTAATTGCATTTGGGCTAACAAAACTTAGTAGACATAAATACTCAGATTTGTAGCTGCCATGCTTGTTTCAGCAGAGCTCTTCAGTTGATAGTTTACAGTGGGTTGCTATTTCCTTGGAAACTATCATTAAGACAAGTTAATGGTCCTGCATTATTATTTGTGATGTGCTTGGTCAGGTATCAAGAGAGACATTAATCTTAACAAATCAATGCTTACAAATGATTAAAAAATCACTTCTGATACTTTTATAGCTTTTTGTGGATTGACCTGTAAGCAAGTAAAATGTTTTTCAAGTATGATTTTCTTGACTTTCGTTGAAAGCAAAAGTGGAAGTATTTTTGTCTCATGACTTTAAATCAGAATATCTAAATGGCGTTAAAAAAAAAAAAAGCAAAATGTCTACCTGCCTCCTCTCTATTTAGCATGTGCTAAATAAGATCACTAGTTCCGAAGTATGCCAAATATCTATGTGTAACAAGGCGGGGCTTTAATCTTGACTATAAAGATCTTTAGCCTTAAAAAGTAAAGAAGTATGTGATTATATTGCTTAGTGTGTGACCGTACCATATGCATGTGTCTAGTTGTAGCTGCTTTAGGTTCTTTGGAATACGTATTAAGTTATTTTTGCAAGTAGGATGCCTTAAAATAAAAATCAGAGCAATATGTAGATGTTAATCACTGACAATGGAATATTCTGTTATTTTTATGTGTTGAGATTTTATGTTTTGTGTGAGAATTAGTAACTCTCGTAAGTGGGCAATAAATTCATTTACTTGGTTTAATTAGATGTGAAACTTGTTGCATGTAATTTTAAATAGGACTTGTGGCTTGTTTAAAATGTGGTCTGCTTCTTGGAGCAGCTCTTGGATGTGCATTGAGATATATAAGATCCTTTCAGATTCTTATTCAAGACAGAATTCCTAATGAATAGACAGCAGAACATAGATAGTGTTGACAGGACTGAGTTCTTCATTCTTAGCTGAAATTCTAACCTCACTGAAGTGAATAAATTTCTTCTGAAATTATTTTATGGGACCAAAATTATACATTTCTTTTGAGAGTAAAATTTCTCCAATTTTGTACTTTTAAATATCTTCAATTTTTACCATTTTTTTCGCCATGCAGGATGTCAGTCGCATTTAAATGCAGTGATGGCACAACTTCATTATGGAAGGTTGTAGTTACTGGAGCATTTGTGGCTTTTCTTCTACGTTTACTTTAAGAATAGACCTATTGCTTCCTTCTTGATTGTTGAATACATGTGATTGTTATTCAAGTTCTGTAGTTAGACTTGAAGTTCGGAGTTCAAGACTCATATTGACCAATTTCATTACTTCTTTCTAATAGCTTTTTGTGCATAATGTAAGTACATTAGAGAGTTATTGTAGATAGCAGCTGTCCAAGCCATCTTCCAGGGCAATGAAAAAAAAAACTTTCACATGGTGTAGAATATATTAGAGAAAGTAGCATGTATGTTTCCTGAACAAATGTAAAATGTGAATGTTACATATGGAAAAATTAAATTAAAGACAGAACAGAATTACAAAAGCAAATGCTCAGAATTTCACGAAAGTTAGAATTACCAATACGGTCTTCCCCTTTTGCCCTTTCCTCTTATTCTTTCTCTATTTCCATCTCATTCTCCATATTCTTAGTTGTTTCTTTGTCTTCATGGGTTTAAGATCCAAGCATTTTTTTTTTAAGCCCTTTGCTGCAGCATGTCCCTCTTTTCCTGATCATTTTTTTTCTGACTCTGGTACAGTTTTCACACTGGAAGACCTCTGCAATGAATTACAGTCTTTTATCAGTTTCCAGACATATTCTAATCTGCACATTCCCTTTCACCATCTTCCACACTGTGCTTTGCTGGCCTTTCTCCCAGTCTAAACCCCTCAGAATGACTGAAGTTTAAAGGAGGCAATAATGCACATCAGTATCAGTTCCTTACTTAGCGACCCTCACATTTATTAGCATGCTCAGAGGAAAATCCTGTGCATTCCCAATAGCCTTGGACTAGGTCATGGACAACAGTCATTGCATTTTTGAAGAAATCAGTCATCAAATTAAATCACAATTCACAGAGCCTTAGGAAAATAACAGCTTCTCTATTTAACTCTCAAAATTGTGTGTATCTGCTTGAGAAGCATAGACTTCTGTAAATATTGTTCTCTTCCCCCAGTGCAGCCATTCTTCCATTGACAAAGTTGAAGGTATTATTATTCAGTGTCCAAAAGCAGACAAACAGGCTGTGTCATTAAGAATGCAGCTTTTGATCTTTATTATGTTCAAGTGACTTCTAGTATTTTTTGCATTTTTTGCTACTGCATTCGTTTGAGATAGTGGAATGTTTTTCCTGTTCCACTGGTTTTTGTTCGTTTTGCTTTCTTTTTTCTTTATTTTGTTTTGTTTGTTATTCAGGTTGGTTTTAAGTTTGTTGGTCGTAGAGCAAATCAAATAATAATCCAATCCTTGGTGCTATCATATATTAGTATCTGAAAGACATGGTGACATTTGACACACCCCACATACCACACTATATATTTCACTGCGTGAGAGTCTAACCAGTAACCAGTAATACTTGCCTGCAACATAACATCATTTAACTCTCCTAACAACTTCTACCTACATGAAAGACTTGCCAGATTTTTGGCCTATTTTGATTTTTTTCTGCATAAACAGCAATCCATTTCTCTCATAATAGACTTTAATCTTGTATGTGCTTCCATTAAAAAAATCAAAAGACTTTGATTTCTACTGTGTTTAGTTTTATGTATTTATCAAATATATTCAGTTCTCACTCTGAAATAAATTTTCCGCTCATTTCTTGTTACAGTTAATGGCATTTTCTGTCTCAGTTTTCAACTGTCTTAGAAAGAAAGATGGATATAGAATTGCCTTTTTCCTAGCGATATTGCTACCTTTGATAGCACTGATAGCACGGGTACAGAAGTGACTGTTGAAGCTGAGATTTGTATTATTCCTGCACTCTGGCCTGCTGCATAAGAAATGTGTTTTTCCTGATGGTGCTTCTGTTTTGAAGCTCTTATGACCGGAATTGTGGGGAAGATGCTCATGCAGACTGAGAGCAAAGCACTCATTTTCTCTTCTGCAAAGATACTACAACCTAAAGAGATGCTCTTTTGATTTTATATATATTGACCATATTAGAATATCCTAAAATTTCAGTTTGAATTTTGTTATGGAGTTAAAGGCTGTTCTGAAAAAGTGTTTTGTATTCACAGTCATTGAATTTGTTAATACATGGCAAATGGGGAAATTGGGAAAATTAACAGGTTGGAGCACTGAGAAGGACCTACTTGTCAGTATGGATGAAATAGATTAAACTATATTTGTACATGGCTATGTGACAGCAGCACATGTAGATGGATGTACCTAGTCTTGTAATTTACTATTCATACAAATAGTGGTGAAACTCTCATAATGCATTCTCAGTTGTGGGCTAGATATTCTGGGTGCTCCCCTGTCACATGCAACCTGCCCTTATTACTGCATTCATAACAGCTGAATTTAATCAGTTTGGGATGTTGTACATGTTGTACTGACATGCATCTACTGCAAGGTAGGAAAACAATAAAAATGAAAGTAGCTTTGTTTATTTGATTTGGATGCCATTATTCAGTGGTGAAAAACTTGGTGTACTTCCAAAATCACATTTGCTTCATAATTTTGCTGCAGTTTGGTGCCAGCCAGGCTCTTGCCTGGAAATCTGTTGCTTCGTGTCATCAGCTTAGATTTTCTGGAGGTGGCAGCAGATAGGAAGAGCTCACAACAAGGAAAGCTGCAGATATCAGCAGGAAAGCCCGTTGTCCTTGAAACCTAGATATTGTTTATGTTACTACAGGCCAGCTTGGGTCAAAATTCCTTGAAGAGAGTAGTAATAATATGAATTCCTTTGCATACATAGAATTTGAAAAGTTCTAGGTTAGTATGTTTGGGTGTGAGTCATAATTTTGGTTAGTTTTAATGACTAAAGAGGAACAGAATTAAATCTGTTAAATGGAATTAGAGTACAGTTAACACTGTTGACAAATTTAGTAAATGCTTTTGCAGATTGAATAGAATTCTGTGCTTGGTCTTCACAATGTGACACCTGTATTGCTCTCTGACAGTGTCTGGCTAAAATGGCTAAGCAGAAGTCAGTGAATGTCTTGAGCAGAGACAGTGCATGAATTAGCTGCTCTCGGTGAATCAGTTAACTTCTGTCTATCCATATCCTTCTGACTTATCAAGGATGTGTGAGGGTGCAAACCTGTGGTTTCGGAGGCCAAAGGGCTGATCCCCCTAAGACTTTAAACCCTTCCTATCTTGTTCCTGATGCAGATTTTTTCAGCCAAAAACTCTCCACCACATGACCTTGAATGCAGTAAATACCTGGTATGGCTCTTGGTACAACTAAAGCACCCACTTCAGCATCACACATGTTCCAGAGATCTTATGTTTCCTCCTCTTTTGCAAACAGTAGTATCCTCACGACGTGTGTGGATTTGTGATATAGATATTTTGTTTGCTGAATTAATTCTAATTTACATCAGTTCCCTTTTCTGGTCTGTAACAGGCAGGGGAGGGTGAGGAGAGCTGTCATATTTTTTCCTTCTGTTGGTAGCATTGATTTGCAGTTTTATAAAAATAGGGTCTGAGATATGGGATCAGAACTTCTTACACTAGTTTTGCTGCTGAAGTTAACATATTGTGTAACTAATGTTCTCATTTCAAACCATATGTTCCATATAAATATGTAGCTTGCCTTTCATACCTTGGAATTATGTAACAGTCTGTATGTCTTAAATGAGAGGTACACTTAATGAGGTTAGATCCAATAACTGAATTACTATGGTGTAATAGTGGCTTCAGCGATATATTCCTCTTAGTCTTGCCTGAATATGTTAATGAAATAGCAAGAAGACTTCAGATAAAAAGAGAAATGCATGCCTGATATTTTCTTTCAGATGTTCCTAAGCTCCAGCACATATCCTGAGATTCATGGCTATTTACATGCAAAAGAGCAGGGAAAGAAATCATGGAAAAAATTATACTTTGTTTTGAGAAGATCTGGCCTTTATTTTTCCACTAAAGGTACATCTAAGGTAAGGCAAGGAAAAAAACAACAGAAGGAAGAACTCTCAATTTAGAGCACATCTGTATATATTTGTCATTTAATGCAGTATTTATTCAAATTTAAATTTTAACTTAATGTGATTAAAAAGGAAATCATTTTATATTTTATCTGTTGTAATTTGAAAGAGAGATTGAGATACAGAATTGGAAAAGCTTTGTATCAGGAAAACATAGTTGGTTTTTTTTTTCTATTAAATTTATTTTGTTCTGGTAACATTTTTCCAATCAGTGAAATCGTTTTATAATAGTTAAAATTCTGGACTGTAAGTAGATGCTCTGAAAGCTGAGCACAATACTTCAATGTGTAAATTAAACAAAAAACTATGTTTAGAAGGATTTTAAGGGAAGATTTTTAGAGTCGTGAAATTTTTTTTATCATTGTTCAGTTTTCATTTGCTAGTTCAAACTTTTGATGGCAGAAATTAAGCCTGATTATGTCAAACAGGATGAGGGACACTTTTAGTGCAGACCACTTAAGGCACATGCTTTTCACCGTTCTGAATTTTCTGTGTTATCCACCAGAGAGTATTAATTGAGCTACTTTTGCATCCCTCAACAATGTCTTTTTCATTCTTTTTTTGGTTGGTTTTTTTTTTTTTTTTTTTTGCTTGACTTAATTACACTTATCTTGGATGATGGAGGTAATAGCTACAACTAATACTGAATGGTAATTATTACAGTGTGCTGTTTTTTCAAATTCTGAAAGTAGATTTTATTTTGGTGCTTGAAATGAATACTGTTCTCAAAATTTCCAACTTCTACTCTTACTGTGATTTGAATCTAGTAGATGTTTTCCCAGATATCTAGTAACTTTTACACTTTGTGTTTTCTTTCTGGAAGAATGAACTTTTTGATTAGTTTAAGGTATTTGTTCTCTGCATTAGGAAGTGAATTTTGAGTTGTGTCTTTCTAGATTTCATGAGACAGTGTCACGTTAAAACTGAGATATAAGTCCTTATTTTGGAACAAGATAACTACTATGCTGTTCTGAGTTTCTTACCTGGAGAGGTTAGATGAATATAGTCTAACTGTATTACATTGCTCTTCTTTATAGGAGCCAAGGCATCTGCAGTTTTTCTGTGAATTCAGCAATAGTGATATATACATGTCTTTGACAGGCAAAAAGATTTCTGGAGCACCAACAAGCTATGGATTCTGCTTTAAGGTACAAGCTTATCATTCTGATACATATTAAAGCAAGCCACAGTTTTTCGGTAAGCTTAAGTTTCTTTAAGGCTTTTGAAAACAATGTTCAGCTGTCTATTATAAAATAGGAGAATTAGTGGCTTTTATTTCAACAGGTATTATCTTCAAGATATGCATTAATGCTAAAAAAAAAAATGTGCTGTGGCCTTCTAGCCTAACAAATCAGGAGGAACCAGAGACCTGAAACAACTCTGTGCGGATGATGAACAAAGTAGGACCTGCTGGATGACAGCAATAAGGTTGTTTAAGGTAACTTTTCTGTGTGGAGTTAACTTCTTTCTTAAGTTTACTATGTGAAACTTTGATACTGTGAAGTAGAGAAATAACAATTATAGGTTCCTATGCAATAGCAGTATCAATTTTGTACAACAAAAGCTGAACTTTCAACAGACAGACAAGATTACTGGAATCACTGAAGGGAGGGAATGATATCGCTTGTAACCTGGCTGAATTTAAAGACACTGTTGGTAATGGGAGACAAAACCAGAAGAATACATGAGATGTTTTTAAAATGTGTTTGTTGTGGAAAAAATAGGCACAGGTCAATTGGTGTATTAAATAAGCAGAATTTCATGTAGAATGTACATTTAGAAAAACTAAAGCAAAAACAGTGTTGTGTTTTTCGTTATCTTAACAGCATTTGTGCCTATTTTATAATGATAAAAAATCATGGAATCATAGCATTGCCTTTTATGTCTGGAAGAAAGTTTACTCAGTTTATGGTTCAAAATGCTAACTATATTGTTTTCTGTTTTTAGTATGGGATGCAGCTGTATCAGAATTACACACAACCATATCAGGGTAGAAGTGGCTGCAGCCCTTTGAGTATGACACCTATGGTATGTCCCACAGTAGCTCCATGAGTAAATGCATTGTTTCTGTAATCATGCTATTTTCAGGTGACTTTTGTCAGTTATACTAGTGACCTGATCCTGCAAATTTTACATGTGTTTTGAGTGTGTGAAATCTTTAGGGGCATCAGGGTAGATGAGAGAGCTAATTGATTAATTTACTTATTTCATACAAGTTGTACAGTTCAGATCAGTTAGCAGGCTTTTCTCTTTTGTAGAATATTCAGTATTTGGGGAGTTTATTGGCTTATTATCACTGTCGAAGAGGATTTTAAAAAAGTAGCAGAACTGTAAATGCATTAAAAATGAATAAAGTGTTTAAGGTTACACATACTGTAAACGATGAATAAGAAAGCTTTAGAAACTTTTTCAGTATGTGGTAATACTTGTCTTTTTTTTTTTTTTTTTTTTTTTTTTTCCCCAAGTGGTTATTTATTTAAATTGGATTTAATCTGAGGTAATACTGCCTGGAGCTCAGACCATAATTTGGCAAAACTGGATTTTGGAGGAATAGTAGTCTGTAGGCTGGTGATATGTCTGTCTCCCCAGCCAGATAATTTGGGATTGGATTGTCTTTTTATAACCTTGTCTTACTTATCCCAGTCACTTCATTTATTTATTTATTTATTTATTTATTTTTGAGTGATGTGTAGCACTATGTGCTTTTTATTGCTTAAATTGTGTAAAAAGTGCTTGTTGCCAGGGTCCATTATGACAGTTTTGTTGGTAGTTTTTTTTGTTTGTTTGTTTTTGAAGCTTTTAACGTAGTTCTTGCTGTTAAAACACCTAAGATGTATATTTGCCTTTATGGGGATTCACAAAAATACTGTTTTCTAATACTGCTGATAAGCATGGCTTCAAAATTACACTTAGTATACTGACTGTATTTATACTGTCTGTTACAAAAAGCTAATGATAGCCAGCTGCTACTTTCATAATGGGTCTGGAAGCCATTACTGATTGGTCTCCTCTTGCACAGCCACATGCAATATAGCTCATGTAGATTTTAAAACCAAATATATAAACGGGAGCAAGCATGGTACAATTTTTATACTTGACTATAATTTGTGAATTAAAGAGAAAATTTGATAAACTCAAGAATTAAGTGATCAAGCTGATGGACATATTTCATAAAGAAAGTATTTTCAGATTTCACAGTCCTCATTAATTTGTACCCATGCCAGCAGCAAGAAGTTCCCTTTTCTCTCCCACAGTCAGGCACTCTGTTATTTTGCCCTGTTATTTTACTTTTGCTGAGTTCCTTGCGTGTATTTGACAACTTAATAATAGTTACTTAACACGTGTAAGTAGAATTTATGTTAAAAGTATGTATTCATCATTTATCCCAGTACTGCAAATAAGATGGTTTGCCCTGCCAGACTGTGAAATCTAGTTTTGTGGCAGCGTACAGAGGTGTACCTGGAGTATAATGAGTTCTGCTGTTGTGGGAAACATTGCAGATACTTGAAACACTGTTTATAAAACACAACACTTACTCAGAAGCTCTGTCTTAAAACATGGATCATTAATTAAAATAATAAAATAGGGAAACAAACTAAATCTGTTTTTCTCTTTTGCAGAGAAGTATTTCTGAAAATTCTTTAGTTGCAATGGATTTCTCAGGACACAGAAGCAGAATTATAGAAAATCCAATGGAAGCACTTTCAGTTGCAGTTGAAGAAGGATTAGCCTGGCGGGTATAAACAGCTTTGTTTTAATCAGAATACTGTTTCTGATTTTAATTTATTTTTTTTAACAAGAAGGTATTGAAATCATTTTTAATTCTCTCTCACACAGAGAAGAGGGTGCCTACGACTGAACTCACATTGTAGTCCTATTGCCATGTCTAACATGGGTATGTGTGAATTATTTCATTACAGAAAAAATGCAGCAGTTGTTTCAATAAAGGCAACATATATTTAAAAAATATCTTTATTTCTACAGCTATTCACAGATCTCAGTCATGGTTTCATCACAAAATCTCTAGAGATGAAGCTCAGAGACTTATTTTACAGCATGGGCTTGTAGATGGGTAAGCTAATTCTTTAAATAACTCTTCTGAGACATATTTCTAGCCAACAATTCTACTTTTTATTGTAGGAGGGAGATGGAGGAAGAAAGATTTTGCACTTACCTAATAGAAATAAAAATTCTTTTATATAGGGCTATCTGGGGATCAGTTGGTTTCTATTTTATGTCTTTTGGAAGCATTAAAGTGGTGATCTAACACTTCAGTTCTGTCACTGACAGATTACTTGTGTTCTCTCAGAGCCAAGCATCTGAGCTGTGTATTTGCACAATATTCTATGTGACCTATCAACTTTGGCACTGGTGTCTTTTGTATCTCTTATTAGTGATGAAAGAGTGAAGGAAACTCAGAAAACTGCCTAACGTTATTCCAAAATGAACTATGTAGGGATAGCCATTGAGTAAAGATCCTGCTATCCCTTAATGTTAAATAATAAATATTAGGGTAGGGCTAATCACTTCTATTTTTCTCTCATTTAAATATTCATTCAGAGAAAAATGAAAGAATATATATTTCATTATTAAATCCTGATATTTTTCATTTCTGTATTTTTATTCCTACTCCTGTGTACATTTTGCACTCCCGTGTAAAATTGGGCCTCATTCATTCAGTGAGTGAATGAAACATTCTTGGAGCTATTTGCAGATAAGCCCTGTGATTTTGGTGAGAGTGATAATCCTGAGTGGTCTGTTTAGAATTGATTATAACATAGTGGTGTGAGCGGTCCTAACCTGGCGTACATACTCATGAACTACAATGAAGACATAAATGCGCTGCAGTGTATGCTGGAAAAAAGTATTCAAGTTGAACCTTTTAAGGTGCTTAAAAGATAAAACTGATTCCAAGCAGTGACATATACCATATATACCAACAAATAGACTGTTTATGTGGCTAAGAGAAGGTGAAAGGACTATTGTAGAAAGGAATAAAGATTTCAGTATTTGAAATAAATAAATGACAGTTACAGACTGCAAAAATCATATTCCTTTATGGCCCACCTTAATTCTTTTGGACCTACTCTTCAGATGTAGAAGAAACATTCCTTAAGGCATTTATTTAGCAGCATTGCAGATTTTGAACTTTACCCCTTTACATTTAAAGTCTTTTCAGTGATAAGTGGTTGACAGGATTGCAAACTGATCAGCCCTCAATAGATGAGTGGGATAATAGCATTTCCAAAAGGCCCACGACAAAATGCAATTGGTCATTCAGAAAATTCCTTTTATATTTTTGAGAATGTTTTTGGAGTCATCCAGCACATTTAAAAAACTCCAACCAATATTTTTAAGCTTATGTGAACTACAGCCCTTTCTTCATAATAAAGTGATCTTATTAAAAGTTTCTTCAACTAAAATAGGTTAGTTTTTGTAGAGTTAGGAAAGAGTAAAGACCTTTTTATGTGAAGGGGAAAAATGTTCACATCTTTCCTATTCCAACAAACAAAATGACAGCAAAAATCCTAATCCATCTGCATTTTTTCATACGTTTCGTGATTACTTTGTATAGTGTTTGATGTGAATCATGGTATTTTAATATAGAGAACTCAATTTGGATATTCGGAAAATGGCACATGCTTATCATTTTTTTTTTTCTGAATTAAAAACAAAGCCAATTCTTAGTGACAAACACATGGAAGATTGAAATTATGCTTTGTAAAAATAACTAAGTAAATAAAATTGATGTCCTGAAAAGGGGTGAAAAGCCACTAGATGGTGAGAAAGAGCTTATTAGGAGAGCCTGAAAGTATTGAGAAATATTAATCGTTATCTTACCTTTGTATGGTGGGTTGGCAATTATCCCTCTTTCATAACTGAATTAGTATCAGCGTTCTGAATTAGTCTGAATTTGATAGAAATGTTAATCATTATGAACTCAAAATTTCTTAATTTGATGTATTTTCTTACCTTTGTTGTAAAAACAGAAGTCATAAAATATTTAGAATTAAAATGGTAGTACTCAGAAATTTGGATACAAGTTGTTATCCTGTGAAAGTGTACTGAAAGTTTTTGCTGTCTGCTTTTTTCTTCTGAAATCCCTTCTTTTCATACAGTTGTGCTCCCATTTCTGATACATGGTTGGGAAAAAGTGGGTGGTTAGCTCTCACTTGTCTGACATCTGCAGGTCTACGTTGCCTGTTTCTTTTGCCTCCTGAAAAATGAGAATGGTTGCTCCTGTGACTGTCCCTTCATTTCTCTTCTTTGGTACATTTGTTAGCTATATTTACTCCAGACCTGCATAGTACAGGCAGTTCAAACTCTGCTACAAAGCTGTGAACCCAGGTATTTCCCTCTGCCCACCAAACTGTTCGTCTCTACTGGTAGTGCAAACTCTACAGTCCAGTGAGATTATATTCATCCTTTATCTGCACCAGATTACTCTACAAGGTTATGGCAAAACTATGTATACAATCTGTCTGAAATCAAATAACTAGTTGCAGTGACACTGTTGGCCATTGAGAGTGTTGTGATTTCAACAACGGTGCTATAAAATAGACTGTGAATTGGGAATTTTGGCAGTGTACAGATATGAGTGTGCATTTATGAGTATGGGTAAGGTGAAAATCATTTTAGTAAGTCTTGCATTACCTTTTCCATAGACTTCCTGTTGAATAGTAACCTTTCAAATTTTCCTTTTAAAGTTTGAGATTTAGGTAACTGTCAGAGTCCAAGGAAAAATTTTGTTCAAAGCACTAACTTTGAGGGTGTTTTTCTGTCTGCAGAGTTGCACTGTAATTCTATGCAGTGTAAAAACAAATGCCTGCAGTGTCATTCATGCATATTATTCATGCACACAATATTCAAGGTGAAAAAGAATTTAAGAAAAAGTATTTTCAGTGATACTTTTTCAAAGGAATACTGATTAAAAGCATTTTTGTAATTAAGATTATTTCTGCTTCTCACAGTGTTTGCTGTTTCAAAACTACAATAATTTTAGAGGATGTTTAACAAAGCTTCAGAGTAATCTTAATCTGAAAATTTTCAATCTTTTTTAGGGTGTTCTTGGTACGTGATAGCCAAAGTAATCCCAGAACATTTGTACTGTCATTGAGTCATGGATTAAAAATAAAGCATTTTCAAATTGTACCAGTAAGTAAAATTTTCAGTTTCCATTTACAGTTATAAACCAATACAATCAAATAATTGTGCTATTTTTTTTTTCCTCCATTTTGCTGCTTTAAAGTAGATATTGAATATACTAAACGTAACAGCTGTATCCAGCTGTATCACCTGAATCATAAATATTCTAGAGTTGAAAATTTATGGCCTTTGCAGTTGATTTGTTATAAATCATGACTATTATTATGTAATCCTACATTTTGGTTTACCTAATAAATATCTTAGAAAAATGCACAAATCTATTTGAGCTGTATTAGAAGCAGCTGTGATTGCATGAAGACTGTATTTTAATAAAGATCATAATGACTTTTCTTCTCAGTCATTCATTTGGGTAGATTCCTTTGGCCTATATGTATATGTATTGCTGCCTCATCTGTCTAAATATTTGATTATTACGAAAAAAATTTTTTCTAATCTCCTCTTTTCATGATTCATGTTACTGTAGTATAATTACGTCCATTTACTCTTAGGGAGGACAGTTTTAACAAAAAATGTTGCTTACTTTGTCTAGTGACTTACAATCAGTTTTCACTGAAGATATCCAATTCTGTCTGAATGGACAGTCTTCCCCATCCTTTCCACTTCATCCCACTTCATCTTGAGGAGGTTTATAATGGAGGTTTCCTTTTTTTTTTCTTTTTTTTTTTTTTTTCAGACTGCATCTGTTAGGATGAGAAGCCTTTTAACATTATCTATTTTAGCCACAGATGCTTGACATAATTGAGAATACTTGCAGCTTTTCTTCTATCTTGGCAAGAGCCTTTCTTCCAGACCAAATAATATTCTAGCTTACACATTTCCTCCTACTAAACTAAACTAATTTCTGGAAGATTCTGCTTTTTCTCAGTGGAAATCGGTGTAGTGTTTTGTGTTGTGTTTTTTTTTTTTTCTCCTGATCTGGTGATCAAATATGATCATTCAGAAAATTTCTGTATGCCTTACCTAGGGATTGTACCTCATATCCACCTCCTCCCCCCAAAAAAAGAAATCCTGTAAAATAAGACTGAAGCATTATTTGAAAGAGAAAAGGAGGGAATCAGTATCTGCTAAAATGCAGTTGATTGGGATTTTTGTTGTGTTAATTACAAATAGTGCAAGAACCCTTCCTCCAAAGGTGATGTCTATATCCTGGTTCCTGTGTGAGCATCAGCATATACTCAGTGATCAGAATCCCAGGTTTAAGGTCTCTGTTTCTATTGACTATGATTGCTTCTAGTATTTACTTTAGGATAACTGTTGTGTGGTTTAAAAACCCTTCTGAACTCTGTACAAATACTGTATGACACTACTTCATTGAGATGTCATTTAACTCTCAAGTTCAAGATACCACTTTTTCTTATCAGGAAACAGATATTCTTTTCTCGAAGAGCAGATGTGGCAGGAAGCTACCACAAACAGCAGTCTCTAAATGTATTTTTTTTCTTAGATTTTAGCTTAATTAAGACTAAAATTACCCTGGATAGGACGTATATCCCGTGAGTTCAAGTTTTCCCTGCATTAACATCTACATCATATTAACATTAGTAATGTGCAACAAGTATTGCAGGAGGGTGGCAGGGAATTGATTGTAAATAGTTCAAAATGAATTTTTGGGGGAAATGTTTGGAATCGAATACTGTGAAAATTAGAGTATTTGTTATGTTCAATGTATTCCTCAGTCCTAATACTCCAAGATGATAGAAATTCATTTCAGTTTAGTTTAACCTGAAATGAGCTATTCTGTAGTCCGTGTTGAGGAAGATTTGTATCTATTTCCAGGAGTGTCCTTTTCTAATAAATACTCTCTCATTGCAGCCTTCCTAGCTTGCAGAAAATGTTAGGTTCCTGGGCAACATAAATTCAGTATGAGTTTTTATTTTGAAAAAATGCTGATTGCTTTCTTCAGAGATGTAGAAATTAACGTTAGGTTTGGGGTATAATTTGGAGGAGGGAAAAAAAGCCTAAAAATGACGTCCTGGACAACACACATCTGAAATGTCAACTCTTCCTTGTCTTCAGTGTGTTGGCAGAAAAATACCACGATAAGGGAAGTTCAGTGTATGATAATCCATTTTATGGTTTTGCCTGGAACACAGGAATTTATATATATGCGCCCAGTCATAATTTCTTAACAAGCAGAGTCGGAACTAAATTGATCAAAGTTTGAGAATAGAGAAATTGCGAACTACTTCCAGATTTGGTAGAAAGGAGTAGAATAATCAGGAATCGCAAAACAGCTCAACAGCTGCTTCAAATGAGAAAACTTAGTTGCAGGTAAGAGATAAGTACGTTTTCTCCCACTGTTCTCAAATAGGATAGTTGCGTCTTTCTGTAGTACGGCAAATATTGCTCTGCACTAGCCGTAGTTCAGAAAGCTCTTTTCATTACTCTCTCAATCTTGTAAAATATTACTTTCCCTTTTAAAAATCTTCTTTACTCTCTTCCTTATTTACATTAATGCTAATTAGTCACTATCACACTGAAGCTTCTTGATATTAGATATATCAGCTTATGAGGAAACATTGAGAAAATATATCACACAATCACAGAATGGCCAGGGTTGGAAGGGACCTCAAGGATCATGAATCTCCAACCCTCCCCCCACAGGCAGGACCGCCAACCTCCACAATTATATTTATATTTATACATTCAGCAGTGCAATGCAAATTTTGCGAGAGCTAATGTTCAGTTAGCTGGTATAGGGAAATACAGATTTTAAACGTTGAAGATTTTGAATGTCAATAGTATTCTTTCTGAATGGAGATAAGGTTGAAAAGTATTAGGAAGTTGAAACTTGGTTTGTTGTGAAAACTGTATGTATATTAATTCTATCACTCCAAAGCAAAGGCATAAAATAATATTATCAATTCAAAGCGAGTATTCTGATGCTTATTAAACTATTCTTTGCTTTTAGGCGTGGATCTATCTTAGAAGAAAAGTTAAAGAATACATTATTTTTGTTGCTCTTGATCTTTTTGTCAATGATCTCTTTCATTTTTCCTTCTTTCCATAGCTGTAAAATAATGAATTGGTCTACAAGAAGACTTCTCAAACAAGTACTTTAATCATGAAGAAATACCATATCAAAAGAGGATTTGATTCCATTTTGTTTTTCCATTTTTACAGTTGGAAGATGATGGGAAGCTGTTCTATACCCTTGATGATGGTCATACCAGATTTACAGATCTCATCCAGCTAGTGGAATTCTACCAACTTAATAAAGGAGTGCTACCTTGCAAGTTAAAACACTATTGTGCGCGAATTCCTCTTTAACCAAAGCATCTGTTGCTTCATCAAAGGAAAGGGAAGATACCAGAATACTTTTTCTCCTCAAGGCAGTTTGTGTAGTCAGAAGGGTAAAAATGTTACATTTAAAGATTCAAAGTTTTAGCTACCAAAAAGTGTAAAGTACATTCAATATAGATAAGAACTTTGTGATTGTCAAAGCAAAATAACTCCACGGTTTTAAAATATATTATTTCCTATGTAATTCTTTAGTGTTGTCTCAGACTTTTTTTCTTTTTTCCCAATGTAAAAGTTTTTTTTTTTTTTTTTTGTTTGTTTGTTTGTTTGTTTTAATTATATTGTGTACCTTCTACCAAAATATAACTGAAGAGAAGTTCTTTGTTCTTAGGGGTTTTTTTTTTTTGTCTTTTCAAATGTTTCTTATAGTTTCTATTCATCACGTAGAAAAAGAAAATTTACTGTGGTAAGGATAAGCTGAACTGCACATTTTACTTGTAAATAAAATGAGTAAATATTTTGCATTATATTTTTGAATTCTACTTTGAGGATTATCATTCAAAAAGCAAAAAATCATTAAAATTACTTATAACTGGTTGGCTGTATTCAATTGTGCTATTATTTAAAAATTATTTTTGTCCAACCTAATGACTACATTGACACGTTTATACAAAGATGGAACATTTTTTCCTTGGTGGTGACGTGTATAAATATGCATAAAGAGGTACACCTACAGTCTCTAACATATATACCCCTGTTAATTACTGTGGCTTGTTTTAGAGCTGAGAAGGGAATCAACTTCATTGGCCCTTGAAATGAACAAATAAAGGTGAATACAATTTTTTTTCTTTTTGCTGAAAAACTGTCAAGAATGTATTTGCAGTTGGTTCCTTGCTTATTTATTATTTATCACGAAATTACATATTTCAGTATAGCTACAAGTCAGCCAATCTTGCCAGGTGTTCCAGTTATAAAGATCTGTTAAGGTGGAGTGAAATTTTGAACCATAGCAGTAGAAATATTTTTGGTATCTGTATTTTGAAAAAGGTGCAATACTTCTGCATCCTTGCACAAAGGCTTAAGTGGAGTGGAGCTTGAATTGAAAGATGTTCCCCTGTCCTGATGCTTTGTTATCCTATGGGTTTGATCTCATTATGAGGGTCCAAGACATGGCCCTGAAGTAAGGCCTGTAATGGAAAGTAGTGCTTAGAGGTGGACCATCATGCTGAATCCTGGCCCTGTGCCCATTCCTGCTTTTGTTCTCCTATCGTCAGGCACGCCAGGTATTCTGCTGTAGGAGTTAGTGGGGAGGGAAAGTGAAGGAGGCCTGGCCGAGGGACAGAGCAGATGGACCCAAGATACAGTAGTGCCAGTGCACATCAGCTGGTAGGGTTGTGTAAATGGTTGCATTAGAATATGATAGCTACAGTCTATGGTTTAGTTACTGTGTGCCTGTGGAAGGCAATCATAATAACATAATGCTGTGATACTTAATTTACTGACTTGATCCACACATCACTGACCTTTTCCTCTGATATGCAAATAGAGTTTTTAAAGCTCATTAAAAAAGCAACTCTTCATAATGTGTACCAAAGATGCAACATATGTGGTGTCTGAGCTCATTACATTAGAAATGCCTTGTAAAACTCTTCACAGACTAATAAATTTAACTCTTAAACCTTGAATATAATTTCAAATTGTAATTACAAAAATGTAGTTATAATTAAAACCTTTTCAGATTTATTTTAGCAATGGGATTTCTTCTGAGGCCTTGTATTCTTTCAGAAATTGGCATAGAATAAAGAGAATTGTCGCATTCCCATTTTTCTTATCATCTGACAAATGAAATGTGTTCTGTGGTCTGTCTGGCCACGTGAAAGCTTTGCCATCATTTCCATTTGGATTTTCGTATTTGCCTGTACAACTGGTAGAGAAGTTAACCATTCAGTAAGTATGTATCTTTTCACCTTTAGAAAAGTGAATGTGAGGACTATTGAGAGACATCAACCATCAAGAATCCTTGCCTGCTTTCTTCTGTTTTCATGAGTGAAAAAAAAAACAAGACAAGTCAACACTTAAAATGCAGTATTGCTTAATGAGCATGGGTTTTGGACATTTGAAAGAGTTTTTAGCTGGCAAATATTCAAAGCACTGTTATCCTATAAAGTGTTGCCTCCTGCATTCTGGCAGGTCTTTTAATTAAAGTCTAAACTGAAATCTTGCTAAGAATAATATAAAACCTTTTTTTTTTTTTTTTCACCAAAAAAAAAAATCTGCATACATTTTCTGAAATGTGTGGTTGTTTATGACTATACCGAAATAGTAAAACTAATGAAATCTAGGTTGGTGTATAAATGAGTTAACAGGCTACCTCTACGTTTCAGTATTACTGGTGAAAGCAGCATGGAAGAAGTAGTCTTATTGAAAAAGCAACAAACAAAAAAAAACCCACACTGATATCCTGCAGTACTTGAAAACGTGCTAAATGGTACAGGTGGTTGATGTATGACTTACAAGATCTTTGCTAGCAAGCACTATTTTCTTGTCAGAAAAATGGCAAGTTTTTTATTATATCACTCAGTATATGTTTGACCATAAAGTTCTTTGAGGGTGTGGGCAACGCTGTTGAAATAGAATTTCAGTGTGGTACTGTGGCTTCTAATTAGGAAGAGTACACACTTCTTTGGTGCCCACCTTCACAAAGAAAATTGGCTAATCAGGAGTTGCTAACAGCAGGGTGAAATCAGTACTATTTTGGGCAGACTGGTCTGTCTGTCTCCACCAGCTAACTTCTCTGTAAGTATGGGCAATTTTATGTCTACCTCCCAAAGGATTTAGAGACCTTTAAATATATATATATATATATATAATTGCAATTGATATTGTTTGGAAAGTTTTATTTTAATATACAAGAAAGATATATGTTTTTGTCTTTACTCTGGGGAGGTCAAAGTCTACAGGCTTAAACTAATTAGAGAAAAATCAATGTCAAACTAGGTTTGAAGCATCATATTTGAAAAAACACTTCATAATTTCTTCAGATTTCAAAATTTAGACTTCTGCGTGTATCTGTGTAGAGCAGTGTCAGGAGGGGAGCGGCTGCCATGCAGAAGTACCAGAAACAGTGTAACTGCATGCACATCTTTCTGTGTGGGGTAATTAGCCCTGCAGCAGTGCGTTCTAGAAGATGTGAGCTAGTTCAGAGATTGCTCTAAAGCACGGCGTTGTATTTGTTGGCATGCCCTTTGTGCTTTAGCTTCCAATCTTAAAATCTTTTTGGCTCGAAGGAGATTAAAAGTTAATTCACTGGTGTTTCATAATGTGTATACACATACAGCCAGAATTAAGGTTCCATGGGCAGCATTAAATGACATTTTTTAACTTCTGAATGTTTTTACTTAACAATCTTATTAAGTCACTTAATGACTTTTTAGACGTATAACAAGCCTTCAGTTCATCAAACCAAACGTTTTGAAAGAGAGCTTTAACCCGTTAAATAAAAGAGGATTACATATGTAACTAACTACAAGTGGGGCCTTTCAAGGATAATTGAATTTCTGTCAAATGTTGTCTGTTACATCCTGGTTACGGAATTGTAGTTTTTTGTGTTTCCCTGGGGGTAGAATTTCTCTGCAGTGTATGTGGGCTTGGAGCATCTTAATTTTAATGCACAAATCAGGTTATTTTAAATGAATAAACTTTTTTTATTTTTATTTTTTTTTGCTATGTTGTTTTTAAGGTTAGTTGTCTTCATCTAAATAAAAGCCATTCCTTAATGCTTAACTGTTTAGAGCTGTTTCATACACATAGCTTGCGAATCAGTTTACCATTTGTCACTAAGAAATCTCACATATTGCTTTATTTTAGAAGAATAAAAGCAGCATATAATTCACATATATTTTTCCTTGGTTAATAAAATAATATTTTATGACTGTTACGATATTTGAAACTGCTGTTCTTTACCACAGTAGTGCATTTTGCTTTCAATTTCAATTTTGTAGCTGTAGATTTCACTGAAATCCTCAAATATGGGATATGCCCGATTACTTGAGCATACTTGCAAGCTTTCAGAGGTTTAACACTTATGGTCTATGCATAATCAATGTGTATGATAGTGCAATTAATGTTAACTTTAATGAAGTGCATGAATATTTAAAACTTAATGAATCTGACTTTACACTGTGCTTTACAGCCCCATTCACACACGTGAACAGTGTTGACTGTTGGCCTCTGGATGTCAGCAGTGTATCACAAAATTCCTGTCATCAGCCACTGTTTTCCTGCTGCCTCCCAGAAATATCTGTGACTTGTGGTCTCTGCACACCTCCAGAACACCCAGTGCTTTTTCCTCTTATAAATTATTCACTTTCTCTGTACCAATTAGTTCTACCAGTTGCTAGGTTTGTTATCAAGTCAAGCTCCAAGACAAGAACCTGAACTCAATGAGTGATTAAAAATTTATTAGCAGAGATGATTAAATATGCAGATAGTCTGTGAAGCTTGTTCTTGAAACCATTACCTTTTTAATACTAATGATTTGTATAATTAATTTTAAAAAAGCCTGAAAGTCTTTTAGGACATAAAAGGAAAGAGATTAAACGCAGAGGAGGCAGTGAACCTGGGTATTAAAACAGCTCATTCACACGTATAGGCAATAAAGTGATTTCCTTACAGGGATAGTTTGTGCTTTTTTCCCCCTCTGCTAAGTTGATTATTTTATTAATCTTTCAAGCATTTTGGGAAAATTCGATCCACTAATGAGCTGTATTTTCAAAAGAGAATTTTGTGACTAACACTGATAATAATCACCATTCCTCTATGCTTTAGAGTTAAAAAATGCAGTTTCTGTACCCAAATGGAGCTTCCAGTGCATTTAGGCATATGCTCAATTTAGGCATGTGTGTGGCACTGGAGTTGCCATGGGAACCGCTCAGGTGCTCAGGTGAGGCCTAAGGTGTGGGAGCTCAGGGCACAGAAGCAGCAAGCTGATGGGCAGCAGCATGAGGCAAAGTTAGCCAGAGAGGGCTGTGAGAAGAGGCTGTTACAGCTGTGCTCAGGGCACATTTTGCACGTTAGGCACATTTGGGGTGGGTAGCAGGAGGATCCTTCCGGAGCCCGTGTGAGGGAGATGTGGCCAACAGGCTGGCTAGACTAGTGGTGGAGGACATGTTGGCTCCCCTCCTGTGGTGAAAATAAAATCAATCACTTTATTTCCCATTAAGGGAGTAACTAGAGAAGTGAGGTGGTGGCTCTTGGGGACTGTTTTTTTTTTTTTTTTCC